TGTTGAAAATATGCGTTAGGTTATTCTTCACGTCCAAGACTTTATTCTGAGCGTACACATTTTTTTAATTGTGAATTGTGTCGAATATCTTTAAAATCGATTTCGGATAGATTCTAACGACTCTTCATTTTAGGTCGAAATGAAAGGTCAGGGTCGCCACATATTCTGCAACTTCGCATCACTGGTTCGCTTGACGACACTGTATCTCGGACATTCCAAGGCAAGGTTTCCACCAATGATCATAGATGAGCGATTCCGGTCAGCACAAATGTAGCGCTTTTTAGGCAGTGTGGTTTTCACCTGCGTACACGCAGGCAATGCTAATTTGTATTGCGACCGCTCAGAATGTGTTGATTTTATCACCATCGGTGGAAATCAAAGATAATAATAATAATAATAACAATAACAATATCAATAATCACAATAACATTTATTTACTCCTGAAACACAATATAAAGAATGAGTAAATAAATGTGAAGTAACGACCTATAGGAGGCATTGCCTGTACATGGACCATTAATGTTGCAACCATATTATTGGAATATGAATAGAGATTCAACTAATCAACGAATTATTTCATCACATTTACTATTAATTTGTATACGTCTGGTCTTGCCAAAGAAAAAATCCATTCTTTTAACTTTTTCTTGAACTCAGTCCTAAAGCGTAGATCCTTATTAAAGCGTTAAGTCGCATCAAAATTGAAATAAATAATTCTTATCAAAATGAAAACAAAATTAAATCGTATGTTCGAACAGACTTTCTTATTGGGTTTGTCAGTAACCTAACCTTTTGTAGAAGCCTATGCGAATATTTTCTGGTGTAACATATTGGAAACGCGGCTTCTATCTCTCTCTAAGATAATGTTAATGCACACTTTTCGCGATTCTCTCTCGTACACATTGAACTCAATCCATCGGACAAATTTGGTTTTCCCTGTATTTACAAACCAGGTAAGTTGAGAATGACCTCCATAGCCGCAGTTGAAAGCTTCAGCTATCAACATGCAAGCTTTTTTCGGTAATGCTTTGAGTTTAGTTTTGAGAATTCGTTTTGCTCTGCCCCTCTAAGCTAAAAAATACAAATACCTATAGTTGATATTCGCCTGAGAAAAACCATTTTCAGTCTATAGTGAACCATTATTAAAAATCATTTCAACGCGTTTTATAATCACCAAAGCTCATTATGACTCTACAGACTGATCCTTCTATCATATTTTTTGTTGAGCTTCCAAACGACAACTAAATACCTGCGGTAAATTCATACCATAAAGTGAAAGCCAACGTATTTAGATTACTTACAAGTAGTGCACAGATGTACGCTATCCCCTATTTCCCGGAAAAAAAGACCCTAATTGCCGGTATCGTATTATGATTATTGCCGGGTATTTGATACAACGGAAACGGCGTTTTTATCGGTATCCCCTGTAACTAGTGGCGTGTGATACTTCCACCTAGAATTAGATGAAACAAACACCTGCAGTTTCAGATCGGGTTTCGTCAGTCGGATACATCGAGTACAGGGGGAAAGGTTATTGAACGGGGCGTTTGTTGTCCATTCAAGAGATAATCGGTTTGGGAATAGTCTGCTGTCAGTTTTATATTTCCTGTACAAGCTGTCGATAAATGAGGGTTTGATTATGTAATATTTGCCCTCCACATTTTGTTGAGTTCAGCTCTGCCTACACCAATGGGAAAAATTAAGGTTCAAATCTAAATTGTCGGTTTTTAGGGATTCGTTGAAGTCCTGTGTCGTACTAAAAATGATGTCAAGTAGATTGACTCTACACTTCCTACGCGACGTCGTCAGTTCATAAAGAATTATGGTCGGTTAGATACGAACATAACAAAAAATAAACGTATCAATTAGTTAAACACATACATTTTTCATACTGTACAATTTTAAGGCTTTCTAGTATTGTGCTTCCTGAGAAACTATGCTCTTCCTCGCTCTTCAAAAAGTTGAGGAGGCCGTAAAGTTATCTCTTGTCGATGGATGACACTCCCTCTTCCCTGAGAAAAATTCCTGCGAGCGCATATGATCGGAACTATATGTACATCAGGCGTGGATGACGATCGGTTAACATCCAAGTAAGCAACCTAGGCGGATTTCTACACACATACATCGACAGAACCGTGAAGCGTTTGAACGACTCTCGAGGGTGGAAAATACTTCTCCACCACCATCCAAGTTTTAAGGATAAATGTACAGAGAAACCTACGATCAGTGAAAGATGTCTGAAAGGTGCGTGGGATTACAACGGCTTGATGCAAATAACTATACCTCTGTAAAAAATTCAGATATACCCTCTCCCTACAGCCCCCAATTTCTCACCCCTTAATTTTTTATCTTTTTATTCAGGTCTATGGACTTATATTTTCCAGTAAGCACGTACTCAGTAATCAATTCAGCTTCAATTTCACTACTTGAAATCCTTGATACGACCATTCTTTGCTGAGATAACAAATTTTTAAAAGGGACCCTTTTGGCTTTGATCATCGATATCCTAGGAACCAATCATCGTACAGAAAACCTAAGCGTGGTCTCAAAAGCTTGAATGCATTTTCTAAGAGAACAAATGATCATACATAGGGAAACAATTTAAAATATTTGCAAAACGGACAATTTTGAACGTGACTTTTACGGCGCATACCATTTTTAATATTGAGCAATTAAAGGATCACGTTTATTAATGATAAGAACTTTTTGGGTCGCTGAAACCGAATCAATGGCTCATTCGATTTACTGGCAAGAATTCAACTTTGTCAAAAAACGACCGATTAAAAATATCTAAAAACTGTTGCACGTCTATGATCGAGATGAAAGCTTGTTTCCTAAGTAAATCAGGTGCGTAGATTCCGAATTTGATGTCAGTACAGTGTCAGGATTTACGGCTAGCCCCGGAAAAATAGTTCTCGATTTTTCACCCTAAATCCGGTGTGATATTAAGCGCCCCATTATGCAAAGCTTCGCTCTCATGTAACCGTTGATAGTAAAAATGGATTTTTAGCACCTTAATTAAAGTCGCAAAATCCGCATAATTTTGCAATTTGTCGCTAAATTATTAGATCTACACGATAAACGGTATCGGATACATGTAAAACGACTTCGGATTATAATAATAAAGGTCATTTGAACCGAATTTAAATTATTTTAATGGATAACGATTTTTTTGAGATTTTCGCACATTTTCTTTATAAAAAAATTAGGTACGGGAAAAATATTTTTCTTCCGATTTATACGCTGTTTGATGTAAAAGACATTCACTATAATTCCGCATGCAGAGCCACCTAAGTGGAACTAATGCTATTACGAAACACAAGAGTTGCGTATCCCTATAACTATAAACAAAGTCTGGAGTCATAAAAGAAAAAAATGTTGTTTGAGCTTTTGGACAAGTTTTCTTGTTCAAGTTTATAGGAACATCATTTTCATTTCCATTATCGTCTTTTTGAGACGATCCTAGAGCTATTTAACTGTGAGAGACATTGACTTCACTATTATTCCACAACTGTGAACAAAAGCCTAGAGTCGAACGCGAAAAAAATTTGTTTGTACTCTTTCGACAGGGTTTTCCCTAACGAACCACTGTGGGCCGGAGGGAAGATAGCGCTTTTGTTGGAAGGATATAGGATGCATGCAGATATAAGAACATGGATTGATGACAGTGCGGATAGATTACCTAGCTTCACAGCATGACATACAGGTTGTTTTGACAACTACCTAAAGGAGGAGGGAAAGATAGAGACTTCGCGAATTGAGTATATTGGAAACGGAGAGGATGATACCTCTGATAATAGAATGTAGTAGATAGTTTGACTACCAGAAGCAACTGAAATTGACGATAGGTTCATTGTTGATGACTTTGCCTTTGTAAGTTAGGGTAATCTTTATAATATTTAAGTACCAGGTAGGCGGATGATTCTGAGTAAGGTAGATGATGATATGAACCGAGTAAAGGCCAATAATAGGTTTATACTTGGTGGGCTGTACATACTCGTACATATACCTGCGCTCAAATGTATATGTATGACGGTGAGAATAAAACGACTAACACCTTGGCATAAATATTTAACGCAACGCTACTCACCCTGATGAAATGCTGCAGAATTACGATGATGGTACATGTAGCACACGACTGAGAGGTTTGACAAATTCTGGGGAGAAAAGGCCCTGCTGCCGAGCTTTCTGCATGAGAGTGGCTACTAAGCGTTCTGTCAGAAAAATAATTTGGACATCGCTAATGCCGTAGCCGAAAATAGCAAATTTGTATCTAAGCTGTATGAAGAGTATTGAGCAAAAACTTGTCGGTACTTCTCGTAACCTATTATTCTGAAGACACGCAGGTACCTAGCACACATTGAACACCAGCCTAAGAAACCCAAACATATAAACAGTTTATTTATTTCGATGCATTCCAGATCAGGAAAACCTCAAACAGAGAACTCATGACTGACAGCTCTAAATATCAGGAAATATAGAATAGGAAAGGATCAATTTAGCTTTAAGTTACTTCAAACAATTTGAGTATTATTTACCTAAAATATGTTAAATTTACAAAGTAGTCATCACATCAAACACAAATAGACCCTCCGCAGTCTCATTTAAAAAATGATAGCATTGCTAGATATTTTTGCAATAATAGGCAGATAGTTGTACATTCATAGACCTTCAACAAACATTGACTTTTTTAAAAATTTAGATTTGAATCTTTCTATATGGAAATTTTATTTTGATCTAATGTCATAACCTTGCATTTCAAACCTTTTTTAGAAGCTGTTCACAATGAGGTGGAGCCTGATTATTGATAGTTTTTTTATAACATAATTAATTTTGCTTCTTCAACCTGTTGGTGTATGTTTGATAAATTCAATGTCTTTAGCATATCCTGTATAGGGGTATATCTGCCATAAAAAACGTATAAATTTGTTTAATAGAATTTGTAACCTTTGCTTCTCCCCGTTCGTGCATGTAATCAAGAGTGGTGCGCATTAAGTAAAATGAGGAAAAATTATTATATTGTAGACTACCCTCCTGCACCACATATACATGTAAGTCGACATGTTTATTGAAGGTTAGTTGCTGATCTATGTTAATAGTAGGTATGTAGTAACAGTCCACTGGAGCACATCAGTGTCAATTATCAGTAACTGAAACGGCGATCATTGTGTTAAGAGGGTCGTTACCATATATTTTGGGATCTTTAATTTTTACAAAAAACCGTGAAGCAACCGGCACGGTTATTACGTATCATGAAAAGTGATATTTTGTCAGCTTTTCGACATTTTGTATTTGTGACATAACGTAGATTTTTCTGCAAGGTGTTAACTTAGCTGTTGTACATTTGTTGTGAACTAGTTCTGTAGCTGTACGAGTTGCTTAAACGTCAGCGAATGCCGATAATTTTTTTAGGTTTTTTTACATATGTAATACCCCTACGGTATTACCTAGTGATAAACCACCCAAGCTACTAGTTGCTCAAATTACGTTGTAAGCAACAGTTGTTGCTACTTAAATCTTCCAAAAGCGTATTTACCGTGACCCAAATGGCAACAATCTATCAAGGAGTCCAAATATTTTTTGCGGGATGATTGATCGGGGCATATGATTTATTTAGAGCGGCGCAGCGAAAGGAAGCCAAGGAAACTGAAATGATGGATGCCGTCGAGCTCGACCAATAGCGAACGGTGGTGCGGTTGTTTGTGATTAGAAAAACACGCTATCGTAATTAGGGTGGTTGAGTGCAAGTCACCCTTCGGTCATAAAGATCCAAGCCAAGCTGTAAACTCGTAGTCAACGTTGCGTTGCTTTGTGTTTTATTTTGTGTCATAGCTGTTTTTAGATTCGTGACCGATAAGCTTGACTTATATGTTAATCCAAACTAGCAGGTTGATCTAAAGTTATTGTAATTCTTTTTTCGGAATATCTGATACCCTGTCATATTTGTGCAGGTTGTTACTTAATGGTAGGCCGTCATTATAAGGGCACATTCCTGAATCAAATTCAACTAGAAAAGTTGATATATGTGTATATACAGGGTGTTCCTTAATGATATGCCAATATTTAAGGGTGTGAATGTTCATGAAAAATTAGTGTTAGTTTGCTCTATAAACTATGGTCCAAAAATGTTTCCTTACAAAAACTCGGGGTGTTGAAGTTTCAGGAAAAAAAATGGAAATTAATTAATGTTTTCAGAACCGCGTCAGATATTCCACTGATATTTAGTACATACTGGAAGTTAACAAAGTTGCATATTTTGCAATGCAAAAATAATTAGGTTTAACAGTGGCGTGCGTACGGGTATTCACTTCGATATTTTTTAAGAAAAAAATGGTACGCCAACGGTTTTTTGCCAAATAAAAATTATTTTAAATTATTAATTATGTAGTAAGTAAACAATATATCATTCAAACCACGCCTAACGCTCAACTGCACAATTTTAAATTCTGTTAGCATACTATTATAAGAGATCATGTATGGATAAGCATTGTGTGTCCTTCAGTACAGATATCTTGAAAATCTTTTTTGTACCTTTTCGGTCATATCATCATGCCCCATTGTTTAAGGTGCCCAGGCAATAGAGGCATACTTCAAAACAAGTCGGACCAGTGAGTTGTACAAAATTATTAAGCTCAGTTTCCTTAAAGTGCTCTGTATTCCTTATCGCAAAACCCAAGATCATATATGCTTTGTTTAAAATAGTTTTAAAATGCAGATTAAATTTCAGGTTAGTCTGAAAGCATACCCCAAGGGGCTTACATTCACTTTTCCTACTTAACAATGAGTTATCAATTTTGTAATCAAAATCTATAAATTGTGCTTTTCGTGTAAAAGTTAAACTATGGCATTGGGCAATACTCAACGACATTGTATTCTCGTTGAACCACTGGGACACTGAACTTAAATCAATTTGCATCCTAATACCATCTTGAAGGCAGGTTATATGCTTGTATATTTTAACATCATCAGCAAGTATGAGGCATTTGGCATATTTTATTCAGTTTGGCATATCATTCTCAAAAATTATGAGTAATAGAGGCACAAGATTACTGCTCTGTGGCACCCCTAGAAGTTATTATGTGAATCTTTGATAAATTCTTACCAACTTTATTCTGCTGCTGTCTTAAGGTTAGGTATGATGCCATAAGCTCACATGCACTTTTTGAGAACCCATATTTACCCAACTTGTTCACCAACAGACCATGATCAACCCGATCAAAGGCTTTCACACAAAATTCAACTATTCTTTGTTGTCAATTGCCCCGGCAGCTGCCTAAGTCAAGATGCTGAGGTTGCTAACGGATGAGACGTCGGGTATACTAAGAGGTCTATTTATCTCTATAGTAAATTGATAACGAGGGAAATCATTATGCTTGGAGATCTGGGGCATAACAATGACCTTACAATGCATTTACTAACGCATTGTTTCAAAAATGTTTCATCTTCAACTCAGTGAGGTTATAACACCGGCCTGGATTTCTTAATCGAATATGTTCTTTTTTCTCATTTTCATCAGTGCACTCAGTTGAACATCAAATCGCTGAATTTATTTTTAGGTTATTACTTGTCTTATTTTGCATTGTATCCACACACAATAGGGTTGGTTGTAAGTATATCCAACTGGCTAAACATCAACTTGTTGTTGTGATTCTAATAAAGACTTTCTATTACTATTACTATTGTTGAATTTAACTCAGCACTAAGTTACATCCTGTTTATGCATTTTATGCATATGGTACAGGAGTTATTTTGCTGAAGCGAAGTTACCTACATAACTGAACCCTGCCAGCAACATATGTTTGCTGCACACTTTCCAGGCTAATTTATCATGCTCAACAGTTCTAAATTACGGTACATGTTGCATTCACATCGATGTATAATTAACGGAAATCAGTTGCACCAACATAACATCACCAACACTGTTTAAACTGCAATACCAGAAACTTTTCAGATCATATGTCTATGTGAGAGTGTATGTTGATTTATTTAATTGGCTGAAATTGAGCTGGTTTTAGGATGTGCGTTTATAGTAGCGTAAATTGCTGATGGTAATTGCAGACGAGCACATTCAACATTATTTGGGCATGATTTCGACACACCGCGGAATTACAGGTGCAGAAACTTTACTCATATTCATCACCAACAAGGGTTCGGGCGTTGGTTCTAAATGCCGTCTGTCACGATACGAAATTTTATACATAATTATAAGACACATTTGTTTGGAAAAAACTGCGTCGCTGGATTTAGCTATAATTATGCCATCGGCACAACGTCAAACACTCATTCTAACCACACTTTTCCTTGCGCTGTTGGTCAGATCTTTTTTTTAATTTTTCTCTTTTATTGTCTTCTATTATATTCCACGTTTGATCACTAGGATCGTTGTGAATGTCCATCTATGGAGGAATCACTCATCTAAACTACACGCATTATTGGTTGTATGTTTTGTGAGGCCGAGTGGTCCGTGCCTGTAGTTTTTATCTCTGACAAGAAAGTTGGTTGAATAGCAGGATCGCATGTGGATGATTATGTATATTGGTCTGCATGTGTATAAAATCAGTGATACTTGCTGTGTGAGAAAATCATTTCTGAATATGCTGCCAACGAAGTATATCTATCGAGCTGTGCCAGACGGGTTATTTTTATGATGTGCTTTCTGAAGCGAATTTATGTTCAAAGTTATAAATTACGAAAAACTGAGGAGAATTCGGAAAATCATCACCGCGCCCGCGTTGTGTGTAATTACTGTTCGCATGTATGTGGCTTGTAATTCGACAGTGTACAGTGAATATAATTATATCTTATATCTCTCATTTTTGAAATACAGCAATATAACTTAATGTAATTATCGTCAACACATACAACTTACAGCTTAGACCTCCAGCAATGCCATCTCGGAAGCAGATTTTACATTACGTCAGAGCCAAAGGTTGATAACAAGCCTCATTACGTTTAGACAACACATACAATGCAAAGAAAAACCTGCATAATGTCAAAAAAATAAAAAAACAGTACAATGTCAAAGAAAATCGGTATAACGCCACTTTTCAATATACATGATACTCGTGCGGGATACTGGTATCCTTTTATATATATCCATCTCCCTCATACATACACATGCAATCAACCACTGTGAGTAAACGTTCAGTAAGCTCAAAGACATTCGTTTTTTGGTTGTGTGTCTTCGTCTCGAAAACTTTGTCAATACGTATGAGTGCCCTTGAATCATATTTGTCAGAATGACAACTTACTTGACATCGGCGAGCAATTTAAGTTGTCCTGTTATCAGCTTGTGCTAAATTTATTAGAGTGTCTTCAGGTAGAGAATGAAAACTACTTCATGCGTACTTTAAAGAGTAGAAATTGGGCTGAAGATTAGTCTGCGCAGTGTTCAGCGAATAAAATCAGAAAATAAGGAAGGTTTGCACATAGTAACACTTGGAGAAACTCACAAAATCAGAAAAATGCAAGACCGATCATGTAAGTGATGTCGTCACATCAGAAATTAGATATACTTTCTATGATATGAGAAGTAAAGGACAACATATCACGACTTCTGCGCTCAAGATCTGCCTATGGTACGGAGAAATAGGTAAACAGATCGAGACTCCGTACCATGGGCGGAACTTTCAAGCTTCTTATAGCACCCGCAGTGCCCCGGTATTTTGGATTGTGACTACGCGTGTACTTATTCCAAAAAAACGTCCAACTGGTTCTGAGCTGATATGCGCATATCGAAATTACCGTTCCAACAAGAAATTGAACTGATTCCGTAACTAGCAGTTATATTTTCCAATAAATTCCGAACCAATTCTGACCCGTTTCTAACAGTTCTAATTCTGAGAGAGAATTATGAGTTTGAATTTGATTTCGCGTTTACAACATAAATTGCATTAACGAGCTTGTACATTGCTGGGAAGCTGGATTTTGTGTCTACTCTCTTACGCCTTTTCTAACTTGTCAATGTCATCATTATGTCAAGCCTAAATCTTAACAGTTAGCTGTACCCTTTATTACACATTCAAAAAATGGCTGCTGACGATTACTTTGG